AAAAGGTATAAATTATGAATTTTTGTACTGATTTATAGACTTTTTTTTTTGAAATTGTCATCTTCATACATATAATATAAGCTAAAAGTTTATATAAATAAATAATTGTATATAATAATGGTGCGGAAGATAGCTGCATGTACTACCTCTACCTCCACGGCACGTTTATCGTTTATCACATACAAAATAAGTTGTGCGTGTGTAGGTATTCATACATGTATATTGTATACTCTGGTACTTTGATATATAAACATAATTGATATGACTTATAAATTATAATATATTATACCTTTGGACCCTTTGGTACCTACCAATATAAAAAATAAATTTAATTCATACCTTAAAATCAATTTTTTAGCCTTCGAATATAGAATTTTGTTCATGGGACAAATAGTTACTGCTGGGAAGTCAATTTTGCTAAGCGGATATCGAGGATTGTCCACTACGATTTGCATAGACGAATATGAAAAAGATTTCCACGAAGCATACAGATGCACAAGTATAGTGATGCTTGCGACGGCCATCAGCACAGCCCACAATAATCTATTACACACGTATAAATAAAACAAAAAACAGAAAAATATTGTAAATAATTTTATCTTAGATCATAATGATCTAAGAATTTTATAATCACTTTATTAATATTTTCGTTAATAATTTGTATTTCAGAATACATATACAATTTATAATCATAACGTATTTTCCTAAGAATCATAATAATAAAATATAAAACTGATCTGTCACACCTTCAAAAATATGATTCACTATAATTTTTGCCATAGATAATTTTACTCTATAGATTATTCTAAAATCATAAAAATGATTTTTGGTAAAAGTGTCTTATTACCTATATATCTTGTGTGTGGATCTGAGAGAGAAAATAAATATTGGACTAAAATTTTGTTAATGGTTTTGAGGCACATTCATACTTTGTACAGAATACTCCTTATAGTTGTAATAATAATTTGAATATTTAACCACAATAAACCTCCCTCGGTTGTTTGGAATTATCTAGGTGTATTTTTTTTATTTAACTCCTATTCATGATTTTTTATAATATAAATCCTATATGGCCTCCCAAGTGTACGTATAAAAATTGTAGTTTTTTATTTTTTTACGTGCCTAATATGTCAACAAATAATCCGATTGGACTGAAATAATTGTTAAATTTCGGAAAAATATAATAGTTATCATAAAATTGCAGTTCTTACCTCTCACAAGTAGTTGCATTCTTGTGAACGACATACCGAAGACCGTGTAATGAACTCTTTTCACAATATTCGCTCCAAAAAGTTTTTACAGACTTCATGACGGAAGAACGGAAATAATAATAAATCGTTGGTTAGAAACGACGTCTTGATAATCCGTACATTTTATAATAATGCGGAACCATACATTATTAATCATGGGAGTTGCAGGTACTACAGGTAAATAAAAATATTACACTGCGCGCGGACTATTATATCGGAAACGAAATTATAAAGTGACATTCATTATTTTTTAATATATCAATGTATATATAAACACAKCTCATAGGTATGTACTCGTAAATTATACGTAATAATAATTATGTTTGACTTTATGAAAAGAAAATATAAATACAGCGATTATGATTATTAAAATCAGATATGACTGTCGTGTTAAATAATTATACACTGATTCTTTGGACGATGGTCGATTTTGGCGACTTTGGGGCGTATATAAACAAACATTTTTGTGCAGTCTTGAATAGGTATTTTTTTTTTGTATTTGATATTTCCATTGCAAACAGYATACAATAAATCTAAACCGACGTATGTGTAGTATACGTACATAAATACGGTTAGCATTTGTTTGACATCTCGATAAGAATAATAGTGCCATAGTGGTTAATGGTTATTGTGGATAATATATTGTAATTGACGTGTATAAACTTTAAAATAATGTAACATTAAACGACTTTTCAATAAACGCCGAATTAATAATTTATAAACAGTTTTTTTTTTTTATCGATAAGTAGACCCTTTTGTTTGTTTTTCTATATACATTTGTTTTATACAATATATTGTCAATATAAATAGGTACTAGGTATTTTATTTACATAAACCTTTATTCCACCTTATCCGTTTTTATTTGTAGGTACTATTATAATTTACATTACATCAATTTTGTAATAAATAGTAGCATTATGTTTATGAGTGATGAGTGATTACAGGAAGTTATTTGAAATATTAATGATGTCTTTTGTTTGTTTGTGGTTGTATCAGAGGTCTACTGGGATAGTATAAATCCTACAATAAACGGCCTTAACTGTCTCAACCCATTTTATTTCACCCCTTTTACCATGGATATTTTTTTTCTTGATACCTATACTTATTCAGGTGTATGCCTTACACATATTAGAATATACTCGTATATACTTGCATAGGATGTAAGTATGGTATAATCGATTAATTTATAATACCTACATAGATATTACATATAGACATACCTAATATATAATAAGCTGTAAGGTTCGATCATAAATTAATCAAATGAATTATTTATATATCTATTGGATACATTTAGTTATGATTTAAACTGTTTGATATTTAAAATTAATTTATCCATATTTACTTAGCTGGCCCAGTGCGTTACAGCACTGGCGAAAAAACAACAAAATTCTTTTTGGTTTGGAGTTAATCAGTTTAATATTATTAGATATTGCCAATGTAGTGATCACGTCGCCTACAGGTATCAGTAGTCAAGGATGATGTTTGGAAGGTGACTATTGAGTTAATTACACAACGTAGAATTCTTCTTAATTAGATTAATTGTTTATTTATTGTGGTAAAACATATATTTATTTATAACATGAAAGCTGAATGTAAGTTAAGTATTCTGAATGATTAGAATTAATTCGGTTTGACTCGAATATTTTCTAAGTTCAAAATATTGTTTATAAGAAATTTTCTAAGTCCAATAAATTAAATTAAACAACAGACTGGCGTGAAGGTGCTCTGGCTAGTCTGGTCAAGTCGCGTCTGAATACAGGCCGTTTCGGGGCCCCTTATATAGTGCTACCCTCTACTCACCATAGTCTACTTGCTCTTGTCGCTGTTCTCACGGATGTGGTATAGTTATCTAGACTGACGGGAAATGTTACTCGCCCACATACAAGTCAAAAGGTGCATYCCGTGCAGCTGCAGACCTCGATAATTTATATTATTATGAATATTATTATTATGTAAAACTATATACAGGGTGATTCTTTCATCAAACAACACTCATTATTTAAAAAAGTATTGACTTTTTTCAATTTTTTTTTTTCAAAATTGTAGATTTACACTCTTCTTGAATTGTTTATTATTTTTATATTTTTCACCCTTATATTTATTATATACACCACCATCAACTTTTGATTTTCAAATGGTAACCTATACTTCAAATTTCATAATTTAATAAAGCTATTTTTTTAATTAATTATTACGTTAAAATTTTGAATTTAGCGCTAGTAGTTTATGAGTTATAGGTATTTAAAGTTTAGATTGGCAGAGTGGAGTGGTACGGGGTTACCCCGCAAAATGTTTGTCCACTACTCCGCTTGTCTAAACTTTAAATACTTATAACTCATAAACTACTAGTCCTAAATTCGATTTTTATGTATCAAAATTTTTAGAAAAATATTCTGCTTTGGAATATGAAATTAAAAAACTATGTTGCATTCAAAAAAGTAAAAAACTTAAAAAATGATAAGGATAAAAAATATTTAAAAATATAATTTTTTAATAAAAGCGTTGGTTTTTTAACAACTTGAAAATATGTAAAACAATATTTTGAAAAAAGTCAATACTTTTATAAATAATGAGTGTTGTTTGATAAACGAATCACCCTGTATAATGATACGTATTACATTATAACATTGGTTCTTGGAACTTTTGTATCGATGTATAATCCCACACCTTGTGTGCCCCTATCAATGATCTTTTATAGTCGTATGATCACATGATTTCGTGTTTCCCTAATATTAATGATTTCCACGAAATACTGTCTCTCCTACATTTATAAAGTTCGTCGCACCCTTCCCCAGACTGGTGCAGCTGGTACCTAGTTGACTGTGAACTATACAATGCGGGACGCTAGTCCATAGCACCAATATGGTAATCAATTTGGTAATCATATTGTCAGATCAAGGAGATATTTTTGAAAGAACACGAATGGTTACTAAATTCATCCTGAGTTTGTGTGCAACTTACAAGTTTGTCTTCAAGTGATTATAAAAGCAAAAAGTTTGATCAATTTGACTCTTGACTTAATATTAATATCTTCTTTCAACAGAAATTCGTACGCCGAATTTTGGTTAAGTTTAAAAAACACAAGTTATGAAGGTTTAAGCAATAAAGTGAAAACATAACTTTTACCCTTTGCTACTACCTACTTATGTGTGTCAGAATTATCATCATATTAAGCAACTGAAACAAAATACTACAACTGCCTCAACGTACAACCTGACTTCCGATCCCATCGTCAAAAATATAACCTGACATAGCAAAAACTGTGCTCACATTGTTATTTTTTTTTTTCATTTGCAGTATTTTTTTTTTAGTATTAATAATTATTATAATTATAACAATAATATTTATTTTTTAAAGAATCAGGTACTAAGATTAAATTGTATTAGGAGTGATAAAATTAGCAAAATGCATTACCCATGAGTATTTGCAGTACCCACTTGACTTTTCAACTCTTGGTAGGTAATTCTAGAAAACTAAATAGCATAAATAAATACTGTATGCCTACATAGACTATAGTGTATATACTTAAAATAAAATTACACAATTGATAGTTTGCAAATTTCTTTATATTAATTTGAAATCAAAATCATAATTTTCTTTTTCTTGAACATGACATTATAGAACATATTATTTGTAAATATTTAGAATATATGAATAGTTATTTTTAAGAATATATTATGCGATATTTTAGTCTATATGATTCCAAGTGTTGGTTATTGAAACCACTTATATCGCAGTCGCATCTCCTCAAAATGCGTTGTTGTTTAACTCGTATTTGTTGTAATGTTTTCGCACAAGAACCAAGAATGACTTGTAGATGATGTAAAGGATTTCCAATATACTGACTAGACTGCAACCAAGGAATAGACTGGCCACTCCACCAAACGACACTGTTAAATATAAGATTGTCTAATATTATCATTAATATTATTATTATGTCATGTCCGGAACAGCAATTACGACACGTAGATCTCCCATAAAACGTTCAAAAATTGTTGGTGCTGAATTTCATTTTTAAAAGTACCAAATATTTATGTTCATCGGGATTCCAAATTTATTACAAACATTTCTGCACCGAGGTAAGTTAGATTAGGTATGGTTAAGGTTTGCTACTGCGGCACCCGAATTTCATTCTCGGGCGTGGTGGGTAATCCCTTCCCCACGGCACGCAATGGAACCACAAGACATGAAGAACCGCAAGCAACCTAAAGAAGGAAACACCAAAACTCTTTACAGTACAGGCGTCCCCCCCCAATATACCAAGAGGGATATTGATGGCAAAACTTGCATTGTTGGCGAGATATACCCCGTTGACAATGGAACGCAATTCATTGTCGACAGGCGTTGTAACCTCCTTAGAAAGCCCTTAAGTTTATGTATATAGTTATGTTAACTCCGAATCCAAGTAAAATGGCATGGGCGCGAACCCAGAGAATCTCGTATTCAGGAACCTCCTGAAAGATACAATAAACAGACTAGAAGAAGTAGCCAAGGTATTAGCCGGTAACCCGGTAAAATCTGAAGCTCTTCAATTCCACAACATTTTGGCCGCCCAGAACCAGCTCGCTCTCAACATAGGAATCATCCTTTTAACACCAGCTGCCACTCAGCTTACCTCCACGGAATCGCAAACAAGTGAGCCCAGCAGCTAACATGGGCGATACGCCCACCTTCGTTAGAGGGGTGGGGACCGGACGACATCCATAATAGACGTTACCATCTCCAAAGCTGTCACCATTTACTACTGGGTGGTACTTGATGTAGTCAACATGAGCTACCACGATTCCGTGGCTTTCTCTACAGAGCCTCCCCAGCTGGTGCTAGGCTGACACAACATCCTCCACTGACCCAGATTGAAGGCTAAAGAAGTTTGACCTGAAAGCTTTTTACAATTACGTTAAGTCAAAGCCTATTAAGATCAGACAAGGAGAGATAAAAGTGGAAAACAACTCTAGATACATTTCTGAATGAATCTACAGGCCTGAATGCCTCTGATGGTAAGGAGCCCATGTATCGGTGGAATGTCTAACTAGCAGAACTCAGATTAACAGCGCTATCCCTCGGGAGGGTATACTAGTCCTCCCTAAGGAGGCTCGGACCAGACGAAGCCGAGACAGCTAGATCCGAAAACTCGGTTACTCGGGAATTATATCAGGTTATCAGAGGACCCGCTCTCGAGAGTACTATCTCTTTCCCAGACGAAAATGAAGAAACTTAAGAGGAAATCAACCATCATAGAGTGGTACAGGAAATGGGCTCGCACGGACAAGGCCACCTGTACCCGCCATATGATACCTGATATAATCAGATGGGAAAAAAGAACGACCCCCAAACCAGGGGTTCGCCAAGGCCACTTGCATGTCCGCGCTGCTCGCACTGCCCGTCTCAGATACTGCGGAGCACACAATCTTTTACTGCAAGAACTGGAATGGCCTCCTACAGAGATCTACCAGCGCTTGGGTCACCCCCAAGACTTCGCAGAGCTGATCAACAAGAGAAGACGATCGCACTTTACGAAGCTGAAGAGATATTCTGGATCTTCTATAAAATGGTGGAGAAGATCTTGATCCTCAAAAAGAAAGAGGAGAGATCTCGACCAGCAGCGGAGGCTGCAGATGAGTGCCTGCCAAGAACGGATTTCAAGAGCGGCGGGCTCAGGTCGGTTCGAAAAAAGGGTTCTAAGGACTCGAAGTCTAAAATGGCGAGCTTGGTCAGTCTGAAAAAAGGACTTAATGAACGAGATGTCTAGGGCGGTGAACTTAGGTCAACCTGCGAAAACCCAGACAAGACAGAACAAATCAATTATACGAATAATTAATATATTTCATGTAATAGTCGAGTAAGTCGAGGCATGCACCGTCTATTTTCAATCAAAAAATGTAATAATAATAGTGAGATATCAGATGGTTTGGGATATGCGCATATATACCAGTAGTCACCGAGGAAGACTATTTACTGTTATCAGGTACCAGATAAAAGTTGTAAATATTTTTCAACAAATAAGCGATGCTGCATKAGGGATAAGTCATGTGAAAACAGTATGGTCTCCATGTAATGATGCACAAAAAAAAGTTATGGTTAGGATTGAATACAAAATATATTCTAAATACAATACGAATCGACTATTGGAATATTTACAGAAGAATAACTCAGAAATTTTATTTTCGCTTATTTAAAAACAGGAGAAGGTTGAGGTATAATGAATAAGGAATAGGTAAATATAGGCAGGGCCGGATTGGTATAAATCAGCCCATCGAGATTTTCACTTCTAGGCGGCCCATTTACATATTCACTTGCCCAAAATTTGTACCTATGGGAAGTTTTTGACAAATGGGGTACTAATGCCGGGATAACTCCCCCCCC